GGGTAATTATCCAATAGCTAGGATTATATCCCCTCACCAGGGTAGTTATAAACTAGCTAGGATTATATCCCACTCACCAGGGTAATTATCCAATAGCTAGGATTATATCCCCTCACCAGGGTAGTTATAAAATAGCTAGGATTATATACCACTCACCAGGGTAATTATCCAATAGCTAGGATTATATCCCCTCACCAGGGTAGTTATAAACTAGCTAGGATTATATCCCACTCACCAGGGTAGTTATAAACTAGCTAGGATTATATCCCCTCACCAGGGTAGTTATAAACTAGCTAGGATTAAATACCAGTAAAAAGTTGACTTTATAAAACATAATTTTAATAATATTTTAGATTTACTATACTTTACGATTCTGATGTTTCCTATGATGGAAGGTTAGTAAATATTCTTTAACATGCTTCCAGCCATGGAGCAAATCCCAACCCTCTTTCAAAAGTCATTTTAGTCAATTTTTAAATGTTTCTGTGTGCATCTTCTTCTGACATAAAAAATGCTATTTGGCGAATGTGTTTTACATACATAAAAAATGGTATTGATCTTGCACTTTCTTTTTATAGAAAAAAATTAATATTGTGCGTGATCTAAATTGGTGAAGTGTAACCATAAAGAAAACAAGTTTAATTTTAAAGTGACGAAACAGTGCGAAAAACTTTAGATTTCATATTTTGTTAAATTTTTCTATTTTATCGATTTAGTTATGATGGAAGTGTTTTGGAGAACGAGGGAGATTATAGAGTTTGCTTCAGGTTTCCATAAGTTTTTTTATTTTCAGTTTTTATACCTTATACCCGGCCCCGGGGTATAGAGTAAGCAGCTGGGGAATTAAGTAGTACGCGGGGAATAAATCAGTTTACCGTAGTAAGAAGAAGGTGAAATTTAATGGGTTTCAATACTTTTTTTGGATCATCAGTTAAATGAGTTTAAAACTATAAAAATATTTTTAATTTTAGTAATCATATGTCTACCTGGGCCGTCAAAACTATCTGGTTTGAGGTGAGTTTAAAATGAAAAATAAAAATTTTAATTTCTGAGAAAAAAAAACTGCTTAGGTGAAAGTAAAAGAAACAGATGATGAAGAGGATTATCAGTATGAAGAAAATGAATATATTGGTAATTTATCCTAATTATAATAAGAAAAATTAATAATTATATCCATTATAATAATTATAAACATGTTGATAATTTAGAAATTATAATAATGGGGAAAAACATTTCATAAAATATCCCCTGTTATTAACCCTTCCCTGCAAACATTGAGTCTTCAACATGCCAATGTCCAAGGGTGTAATTGCAGTTGCGTATACTCTGCGTACATATTGAAACCAGTTCTCTCTGGGCGGAATTTGCAAACAAGAATAGATGCATCAGTGTTTGTTTAGTATCCGAGGAGGCATTAAATTTTGATAATTTTGATAATTCACATAATAGTTTCCTATGACCAGAATATTTCATTGATTTTTTTATGTCAAAGATGGATCCCGTGTCAGGCTTTGACATCCGTCTTGTGTTTACATTACCGCCCAGAGAGAGTACACTGCAGTACAAAAGATGTATACACTTCTGAAATAACTTCCCTTGCATTACATACTTGCCAATGTCTAACATCAACAGTTCAGAACAGTTAACAGACAACTTTGCCATCGGAACTATAAGTCGGTTTCAATGATTCCTGCCATTAGATCCAAGTAATAACAGTTAGATTTTTTTTTTACATTAATCACTGGAAATTATTAAATAAAAAAAATTACTTAAAGGGACAGACCGGCTATTTAAGGTAGTTAAACTGAGTATGCAGTGTTGTAAATCGATTTTTTAAAATAATTAAATAACGACGACGAAAAATAAAGTAAAAAAAGTAAAATACATTAAACTGGTTAGATGGTCAGGATCATATTTCTCAAAAGAAATGTGCCTTTTTTATTTTGTAATTTAGAGTGTAGCTAGTGTAGTTAGTGTAGCTAGTATTGCTAATTGAAATTCGTCAGTTAAAAGGACTATAATAGCATAAAGATATAATTTCAAGGACTCTCTTTGTTGAGTGACACAGACATGTCCGATTTACATAATTTTAAACCCCCCCTGAACGAGTGAAATCTATGGATTTCAAGAGGATTTTCAGGCCCCAACAACACACACAATTTTATAGACTTTAATATGGTCAGGTCCCAACCATGTATTTTACAGCAGGTTGAAGAATGAAGAAAGACTAGCTGTAAAATATCTAAAATATTTACTTTTGTAGAGAGAACATTCTGCAATATATATACGAATATTTTAAACCTTTTAATATCAAGCTTCATATTGTATTAAAACAAAACATTGTAGATAGTTGATGATGTCCCCCCCCCCTCCCATATTACTATTTTAGAAAGCCTCTAAACCCAGCTGCAATATTACATTTCTTGAGACTATGCATTATTGCACAATTATGTGTATGTTATACACTAACAGTCATCAGTCACAAATTATGCAAAAATAGATACATAAAGATATACAATTATATATACAGAGTTACTCACAAAGGATGAGACTTTGAAGACTTTAGGGTGATTAGGTAACTTTATAACCCTAAAATGAGAAAAATAAGGTATGAAATTTGAAATTTTAATAGCAGGGTGAAAAAGTTACTTTTTCGCCCTGTTGTAGGGCGATAAAGTCACTTAATTACCCTTCAACGGGAAATATTAGGTGTGATAAATTCCATCAAAATTAAATTGATTAAATTAAGTCATCTACCTCATTTTATGATTTGGTTAAGAAAAGATCAAGTTTATAGTTGCAGGCAACCCTTTTGCATATAAGGAAACAGGCAGTATTAATTCTGAAGTCTCAACCTTTGTGGGTAACGGCCTGCATGTAGATGATGTGGGTAACGGCCTGCATGTAGATGATTTCAATTAATATTAAAAAAGACATACAAAAGAATTTAAATCAGAATATAAATAAATATATAAAATTAGCTATAAAAAAAATTTATTATAGATATAAAATTAATTATATAAAAATTATATTCACGTCAAATTAAAGTAAATCTAATGTAAAATTAAATTCTTACATGTTATCAATCATAACTACGAGGTCATAAAGTCGGACAAGTATACAATTTTGCATAAATTTTACCTTTCCCATATAAGTCTATATCAAAATTAGATGTTAACTGAGTATAAAATTTGAAGGAGTAAGATAGAGTAGAAAATAAAATGAAAAATATTTTTATCTAAAAGCAGAAAATAAATGCAAAGGAATTGAGTATTTGCCACAAACTCAAATTTTCTAATATATTTGCAACTTGATATTTCAAACTTAGATTTTTTGATCTAACAGAATTCACAGTTTGAAATATCTAAGGTCTACGACTTTAGGTTGCAAAGATAATTAGAGTTTGTGACAAAGACTCAATTCCTGTAGAATATATAATTTTTGCAGATTCCTTTAAATTTATTTTGTTTATATTTCCTAGATGATGAAGAAATGGCAGGTATGGTGGCAGGAAATGAAAATGATGCCACCCTATTTGATTTATCGGTACTAGATCAATTTATTCTACAAATACTTCAGCCTCTATTGATTTTTGGAACATTTAATTTGTCACAATCCCAAACTTTCTTATTTTATATCTTTAAATCTTGATGATTTGATATTTAAAATATCTAATAGAATTCTTAATTGAAAATATCAAAGGTCAATCACGTCATTAGGTTGCAAAGCTGTAGGGATTTAAAAAATTGTTGACGAAAGTTCTTTTCTTTTATAACTATTTAACTTTTAAGCCTTTTAGAACTTTTATTATACATTAATTGTTCTACAGAGTCAAACAGAATATTTCAATATTGTCTTTTCTAGACTTAAACTTTTCCAATAGTCTGCAGCAACTATATAGTCCCCACACACTCTGTTTTATTCAATTTACTGCAAGATAAGGGGTCATTTTTCTATACAATGCCGCGCACTTAATTTAATCACAAGATCATATGTCGTCTTTATATGTCTAATCGTCATTTTAATTTTACGATCCCTGTATCTTTGCAACTTGATGGTTTAAAAATAAAACATTTCTAGTTTAATAAGCTAACAGAGTTTACAGTTTGAAATATTAAAGGTCTACGCAATCCGGTTGCAAAGATATTGAGATTGAAAACAAGATATTGTGACGAGTGATCAAATCCTTTTAATTTGATTACTTCACAATTATCTTTATTATAACTCTCATGGTTCAGGTTGATGAAATAAGAGGAAGTGTTCAGAAAGTGAGGATTGGTGTTGGAAAAATCAGACATTTCCAGCTCATGTTTGGAGCTTCTATGAATGCGGTATTGAAATCATATTTTTTAATTTAATAAATATTATTGTTTTTATTATGAAAATATTTGTTAGGACACTCATCAAGCATCTAGCAACATCGAAAAAATAAATTTTTGGTCATTTATTCATCTCATTCTTATTCTACTAGTTGGGCTGGTTCAGGTAAAAACAAAGTTTTAAAGAATTTAAAGAAATATTTACAGACATTATTGTTTTCAGCTCTTATATTGTCTACAGTTTTAATCATGATAAAATTCAAACTTTAATTGCCCCTTCTGATTTCTAATGATTCAAGAAAAAAAATTGTCAAAAAAGCTGGAACTTTGGATATTTTAAAAATTTGAATTAAAAAAACTATCATTCATTGGTTGCGCTTTAATCGAGAAATACATGAATTGAGCCTTTGCCCTAAACTCTGAATTGTCAATCCCTAAATCATTGCAACCAAGTGCAACTCAATGTCGTAGAATATAGATATTTTAAACTATGAATTCTGTTAAATCAATGAGTCTTAATTTAAAATATTAAAGGTTTGCACCATCAGATTGCAAAGATGAAGAGATAAGCAAATTTGAGTTTGTGGCAAAGACTCAAATAATTCTGTTGTAAATATTATTTTTCTTTTAGGTTTTCATGATTCGCCAGCTTTTTGAAGATAAATCTTTCATTCAACGGTTTACCAGTAGACCATAATATTCTTTTATCTAAACTTGCATTTTTTACATTCTAGTATTATTATTCTTTTCTTAAAATCGGAATTTTCTATATTTATAACGTCATTCAAAGTATTGCTCAGATGTTTATTGTTTAAGAACTAACCGACAAAAGAGATTTTAATTTATTTTGTGGGATCGATATTTTTAGATTTTGTACTTTATCAAGTCCCTCAATACCATTTTTTAGCATTTAAAGTTTAAATTGTGATATGATATTGTTAGCGTTTAATTTCTAAATATCAATTGAAAAAGACATTTGTAAGTAAGGTGTAGAGAAACCACAATAAAAAATAATCTATTTTAGTGTTAGGACCAAATATAACACTTCTATAAAATAACAAGGAATGGGTTAATTGTACGGAAGAACTGATAAAAAGGTCTGGTTCTTAAAATAGATCTTGACTTGTCTCAATTCTTCTACTGAATGTCCCATTAGGGTTCAAGTTTCCCTCTTTTGTCACTTCTATTCCTATCTTTATTCACAAAAACACAATTTTATTTAATATCCAATTGATCACATCTTGTATTCCATTATTCATATATTATTATTATTCCATCCTGCAATTCCTATAAAAATACAAGAGCAAAAGATTATTGATAATTGTTTTTTTTTACAAACTCCTCATTTTAGGTTCAGATTTCAACATTCAAGCTTTTAGAATTTATAAACTTAAAAATAATAGATAATTTATAAGATAAATATCAGAGTAAACCAACAAGCACAATTAACACCAAAACTGCCAACCTTAAAGAAAGACTACATCTAGCTGAGAATATATTTAAATAATAATAATCCCATTTTACTACAATTCCCCCATTATTTTTACTGAATTTTCAAAGTAGGTAAAAATAATAAACATTTAAATCATATGACCAAATCCTTATGTTAACTCCTCCACTTCTTTTTCTTCATTCATTTTATTCCTGAGCTTTTTGTTTCTTTTCTGTATCTTCTTATATTGGATCTGAGTTGATAAATAGATATTTATTATCAAAGCAGCAGCTGCCCCTGGTCCTTCTTTCAATAAAGTCATTGCAATCATTGTTAGATCAATGATTAATTTGAATAACAACCACAATATGACTATTAGAGCCAATATGTCTCCGTATTCATGAATCTTGCCCTTGGTCATAATATTGCTAATTGGATTCCAAGAAGCTGCTTCTTCCTTCATCAATTTTTGAAAGTCATATTGTTGAACACCTTCAGTATTTTGACATACCCCAGTTGACAAACAAACTCCCCAACTATGTTCTTTCAATTTGGCTTCATGGTAAACTGGAAACTCCAGTAATCTTTCCCAGGCTTCTATCTCTTGATCTGTATATAACCCATTCTTGCTTAGATCTTCATGATTTACAATTTTCCTTCTTGATGGTTTCCCTTGTTGGTTCTCCTTGTAATGGTGGTTTTATTTTCCGGATGTGATGATTTAGTTCTATCCAGCCTTGATCTGACAAAATGGTCATGGAAAAGTATTTATTACAAACCACTGGTGAAGTATGTTTTACTAAATTACGATTTGAAGGTTCTACAAACATTATTGGTTGTGTATCCAATGGTATTACATCATAGCAGTTAGTGGTTTCCTAAATGTTGGCTGTCTTGGTCAGACAGGTATACACCAAGTAAAAATCTCCTCTGGTCATTCCAAACAAATTGTCTTTAATTCTAATTCTTGTTCCTGGTCCAACATGACTCTCTTGACATATCAATTCCTGCATGTCTTTATCACTCTCAATTTCTCTGACCTCCTCTAGATATGTCATGTAATCTCTGGCCACTTTCCCTTCAAGTGCAATGTCTAATTCCCCTGGTTCAAGCTCTGCTAATTTCATATGTTGGACTTACCAAGAATAAGTCTTGATAATTTGTCTTATCTAATTCCACATCACATCCTTCTATCCGTGTAATACTGGTGGTATTTACCAGAATCTTTAGGTCATGGTCCAGCGAATAGCTTTTCATTACAGAAATTGGTTTGAATTTTCCTATAAACTGTAATCCAAAACTGCTCTAAGTTAAGTCCCACAAAAAGGTTCCATCACAAGTTGAACAGCTTTGGTCAGTCACTGGACAAGGTAAACCAATCCTATTTGATTGAGATTCAATGGTTTTCCCATCAGATATATATTTCTCTTTTCTTAATAAGATCTTATATTCCTTAAGCACCACCACATTGGTATGCATGAGGTTTCCCATATGGGCATTTTCTCCCTTGCATATTACTTTATCATTAACTGCAGTCAGCTCCCCTACTTCTACCACAGGAATCACATTCACTTGATCCATTTCTAAAGGAAAACTCTGTAGAGTATTCTCAGTCTTAAATCTTCTATGGTTAATCATCTCTTTACACCACTCTGTGGTTACTAACTCGGTATGTTCTATAGCCGGAGTAGTTGATAGCTTGAGATGACTCCATGCTCCACACTTGAAGTGGAATGTAGAGGACTTTACAGAGCAGCTATATCCTTCCAATTTATTTATCTTCTTCCTTTGCACTATATTATACTCAAGGCTAATAGTTTCTTCTGGCTTATTTCTCTGACAAATTGTTGCTTTTTCACATTTCTTAATTAGATTTGTCTGCAGACAGTCATAATAATTAATTGAATAGGAACCACCCATACCTTATCAGGTATTATCTGGTTCCTAACCTTAACGAGAACCGTTGCTATCCACTCAACCACTTCCAATGGTCCAATCCATTGGTTTGTCATTTTCAAACTCTTCCCTGGTATCTTCCTTGGTGATAAATACCAACACTGATCCCCCGGTTTCCATAGGTTCGGTTTTCCTTCATACTGATGACTATTTCTATGAATAACTGCTTCTCCTCTCTTCAAGACATACTTGTATACTTCCTTATACTTGTCTAAAGTGTTCCTCACATGTTCATGTACTGGTCTATGGTCCTGGTGTGAAAAACTCAGTTCCATTATCACTATGGACAGATATTGGACAGCCAAAGTTAGCTACAAACCTTTCCATAAAGGTCTTTGCCACCTCTTTGGTTTCTTTACTTCGCAATGGATAACAGTTAATGTACCGCCTCCATTGATCCTCCACAGTAAGGATATACTTGCAAAGGAAAACTCTGTCTTAATGGTTTGTGCTCTCCTTTCTTATCATGCTCTTTAGTAGTCTTAGCAATACACTGACTTAACCCTGTTAGCTAGGTTCACGGCTGCTCCTTTCTTACCAAAAGAGCTCTGATAGCAGTTAGACCATAATGACCAGCACTAAGATGCTGGTGACAGTAGTAAAAAAACACTGGTTTCAGAGCATCAGGAACCAATACCAATTGTTTCTTCCCTCCTACTATACTACCCTCTGCTTCAAAAACAAATACACCATCTTCGGAAACTTTCAAAGCTCCTACCAATTGTCTATACCTATGAACTTCTAGAGACTGACCCATTAAATCATACTTGCTAGGTACCTGACCTGAAGAAATCCACTTCCTCACTAATTTCAGGGTTTCATCCGGTGCTTGAGCCTCTAGAATCTTAGCTCTGGTCAGTTCAGTTTCAACTGCTCCAATGAACTCAGCCTGATCCCTTTCTTCCTCTAATTCTAGTTCAGGAAGATGGTCTGATCTGCTCAGTGCATCTGCATTACTATTCTCAGATCCTTTCTTATCAACAACCTTTGAACTGCAAACTGGCCAGCTCTTCATACCATCTACTCAGGATACCCCCTGTAGGTTTAAGGTTATTCAATTGTTTCAAAGCTGCACTATCAGTGTAAATAATAAATGGCTTATATGACAATATATGGTTATATTTCCTGCAACCATAAACTATAGCAGCTAACTCACCTTTCCAACTGGGATAATTTCTCTCCCCAGTTGTAGTTTTGCGTCCCCCAGCCGCAATTAACCTTTCTTTCCCTTTCTGTACTTGGGACAGAATGGCAGACAAAGCTCCTCCACTATAATCTGTGGTCAAAATAAACTCTTCTTTGCTATTAAAATCTGGAGCTGCTATTGAAGGTGATTCCTTAAAAGCTTCCTTATCTTCTGAAACTTAGTTTCCATCAAGGTGGTCCACTGCGGACATCTCTTGGGTTAGCATACTAAAATCTTTAATATAAGATCTGCAGTAACCCACAAAGCTTAACCATTTAGATAAATCCTTGTTTGTCTTTGGGGTTGGCCAAGACAAAATCCTTTCTACGTAACTAGGCACCATTTTTACTCCATCGGCAGTGATATAATGGCCTAGGTAAACCAATTCAGATCTAAATAGTTGACACTTCTCTGCCTTAAGCTTAATACCAGCTGTCTCATGGGCCTGAAATATCTCTTCTAACTTACTGAGGTGATCTTCCATTTTGTTATGGAAGAGTAATAGATCATCCAAATATGCATTAAGTCCCTTACTTGACAAAGGGTTTAATACCTGGTGTATGAATCTTGAATATATACTGACAGCTGCACT